GGCTAATTGCCACCGTCTTTAATTCTGAACTGCCGACCAGAGGGAAGGCAACTGGCATGCAGTACCTACAGCCAACTCTTAGGCAGTTCTATACCAACGATCCAATTATGGGATTGGTTGATACATTATAACACCTCAATGCTGAAAGGGCGAGTGTGTTCGACACCGGATTTCGATCCCGCGATTCGCAAGATGCGATCGAGCATCATAACCAACAGGTCTGTATACGAAATAATAATCTTTGTTGACCTCTATAACAAATGGTCGTGACCTTCAAACAAAGGACCATAGTCTGGACAAGAGATGAGTTTCTAGTATAATAATAGGTTGAATACCAATTCTTATTCACGTACAGAAATATGTCCACATTTCAAAGTAAAGCAGCTAGCTTACACCGATTCTTATATCTGTATTATAGACAAGGGAATCGTGGTGCAGCCCTAAAAGTTCTCAAGGAATGTCTGAAGAAAACTGAAGAACTAGACGAATCCAAATCTTTGGAAATGCTGGCAATCTCGAATGTTAAGTTGGGTATCCTCTATACTTCAATGGTAAGAGCGCTTATGAAGTGGCCTTTGTAGCAGAGAGCGATGCGAAAATCGCCAACTTTTACTGTTGACTTGGGGTATTGCCAGTATATTTAAAAGTGTTCGGTGCCTTAAAAAAGGCATGATGAAAAACTAAGATCGCAATTATGCGAGTACATATAGACATATAACACGAATTTACTTGTTTTCTAAACTATAAATACTGTACACGCTTTTATTTTCTTAGAAAAATTTGCTTGTAACAAAAACTATATAGATATATTCGTTTGAACAGACGAATTACGGTAATCCGACAGTTTCATCTTTTGGTGACTAAGAAATAATAAAATAAATACGAATATAATATTGTCTGTAACAAAGATTCCATGCCCATTCAAGTAGCCCTTACTTTTTTGTTTTGAAACACACACACAAAAAACGATCTTTGTTCACGCCACACGTTACAAATATTTTCAACGATAAGCTTGAGAGACAAGTTGCCAATAAATTATTGTGTAATATTTGTTCACGCAACCTAATATAACCTCATTCTTTACAAGTTGGAAATGTAACAGTTTATTGTTGTTTATTCAAAATGTTAAAAAATGTAGTAGCTTCAGGTATAACTATAACGTGTGTCTTGAAGTATATCTTAAGTAGTAAATGTCAATTTTTCATCTAACAAATCTGATAATTCTTATTTGATCTATATATGTCGTTAGTTTAAAAGCTGTTTATTGAGACTTTTAATTAAATTAATACTACAGTTTAGCAAATTAGCATACAACAGTGCTAAATGGCGTTATATATTATCATAATTTGTTTTAAATCAATTCTTAAACAGTTGAAATACTTCGATTTAAAGTAAAATAAAATGCTCAATAGATGGCACCACATTATAATTTGTTTCTTTCTGTTAATATTACTAAAATTACAGTAAAAACTATTACATAAAAACCAAACCGTTTTTTGACTCCGCTGTTTTAAGAAAATAGAATACAGATTTAGTACAATTACAATATAAAAATATTTTTACCATACACGATACCAAAAAAATGAGATTTAACAGTTGTTATTTATCAGGTATTAATGAATCTAATAATTCTGGTTCATAGACACTAAACCCTTGTCTCAGACATTTCCATTTTAATAAAGTATGTACATCATTAGTACACAGGAATGTAAGAAACTGGGGATAAAAACAGTGTGCTCTTCCAACACCACACAGAACCCTCCGGAGTTCCAAGTCTTCTGGTTTTATACCTTTTTTAGTCCACTGTTGGCAAGACAATTGATATGCTTTATTGTAGTGGTCCATAGCCTGCTCGTGGTTTCCCTAAGGTGTAAGGAATGTTTTAACACTTAATAAGTAACCGTTTTGTTAGTGTTTTAGGCTTGATAAGTTTGCATATCTAATCTTGGGATTTGTGTTTTTGGAAATGGATCCATATTTATTAACAGAAATAAAACTGTAACTTACTCGAGGAGGTTGAATATTTTATTGTGTTATAAACAAGAAAAAGCTGATTCTGTTAGTTTGCATGGTTAAACTAAAACTATATGTTAAGTGTTTAGATGGACATTAACTGTCTTAGGTATACATTAACTGTCTTAGCTAGACACTAACTGTATTAGCCAAACAAAAACTGTCTTAGCTAGACACTAACTGTATTAGCTAGACAATAACTGTCTTAGCTATGCACTAACTATCTTAGCCAAACAAAAAATGTCTTAGCTAGACACTAACTGTCTTAGCCAAACAAAAACTGTCTTAGCTATGCACTAACTGTCTTAGCTAGACACTAACTGTCTTAGACAAACAATAACTGTCTTAGCTATGCACTAACTTTCTTATCTAGACAATAACTGTCTTAGCTATGCACTAACTGTCTTAGCTATGCACTAGCTGTCCTAGCTATG